GGGTGGGTGGTGGGGGTTTAAGCTTTCAATAAACTGATAAATGTCTCACCCATGATAATTGTTTTACTCGATGAAAGCCCCAAGTGAGTTTCAACATTCCTCATAATAAAGGTTTTTGGGTTAGATCGCGTTATTTATGTGTCGTAACCCTCCACCACCCGACACGGCCAATCAGCAAAAAAGTGTCACGTTGACAAAAGACAAATAGTTCACTACTTTAGACCACCGGTGTGTTGAAGAGTGAATCCACAACATTTACAGTTTGAGTACGACGTTTCGCTGGCGAATTGCCTGATGATGCTGGATGTAATTTCCAGCGAAACGTCGTACTCAAACTGTAAATGTTGTGGATTCACTCTTCAACACACTGGTGGGCTAAAGTAGTGAACTATGTCTTTTGTCAACGTGACACTTTTTTGCTGATTGGCCGTGTCGGGTGGTGGAGGGTTACGACATTTATAAATAAACCTTTATTATGAATAATATTGGTCGCGAAAGCCTACGTGTTAAACCGTTCAACATTCCTATCAGAAGGATCCTGCCAGGTGTCAGGTAGTGTTTGGATAAATCTCATTTGTATTGGAGTAATCTTATTTCGAGTGACAACCAGACTGCCGGCAGAAAACTCATGCAGGCCAGAGGAGATCACTCATAAGAAGGGACACATCGCAATTAAGGCACTGCTGCGACCAATTTTTCAAGCTAACATATTAAACATTTAAAGACAAAATCCAACAAAACTAAAGTTTGCTTAATAAACGTCCTCTGGAGGAATTGTGGTGCGGCGGTTCGTGCTCCTGCGCTCTGCAGGAAGCGAGTTCAATTGCTGGACATGGCTAACATTAATTCAACTGGAGGAGATTCAAATCCTCCTGCCCTCCTCCACTAATTACGGGACGGCTCAGCCCAGAGAGCTCATGTGAAGCAAGCAAGGGCATCTCAGTACAGAATTTCTACCCGATGAGCCGATGCAACAAAAAAATATTGCTAAAAATAATACATTATACAAAACAAAATATACCTTGATGTGATGAAGTAAAAGAACTACCAAACCGGCTGCTCATATAAATATGTGCATGCTTTGCCAAATACAAATTTGCAGCCATTTTTTTCGCTGCCATTTTCTTTCGGGCAGTGCCCCAGAGGACCAGCTCAAACCCATGTGACTTCATTCCAGCCAATCACACCCCGGTTACGAGTACACAGTAGAAGTGTAATCCCCGATCTGGCAACGTTGGGGAGGAGGTGATCGATTTGGGAGTTGGGGGGTGGATGGTGGTGGTTTGCGTTTGCACCCTTTTGCCCACAGGGCATGAATCCCAGAAGCCAGGAGACTCAGTGGTCATGAGGTGCAGTGTGGTCCCCGTGGCATTGCTTACAGTGGCGTTAACGGGAAAACAAACAATAACAGCAACAATATACAAACGTCATTTTTTCCAGTGTAAACTATAGATCCCAACTCGTGCCTTTTAAGACAGATATAGTGCCATAGACAATCAAACCCCCAATTAACGTGAGCGATAGCCTCACGCACACACTCGCACACACCGTGAGAAACAGCCTCACGCGCACATGTACACACACCACACGGAGTGCAATGGACCGACGAGTTGCTGGTGGGAGACTTGGGACGAGTCTAGTGGTGGACGACTTAGACTTAGGTGAAAAATGAAACCATCTGCGAGGACTTCAAGCCAATCATACGAAGACTCATGTGCAGTAAAGTCGATCAACCCTCTCTGCGCAGTTTCCCTTTTGAGTCTTAAGAATCATCTCGTTTGAGTTTCTTTGTGAGGATCTTCCACATGGCTCTTCTATGCAAGTCTTCAGAAGATGGCCCCGCGATTAAGCACCTTCACGACGCTGATGTGAGCGCCTCTGTATGTCTCTCCCACGAAGCTCATCCATAAGCTTTCTTCATGGACTTCTTCGCGAGACTCGCATGTATGCATTCTTTAGGAAGATTTCATTGAGGCTTCTACATGAATCTTGTTAATGGGGCATTCAACTCAAGCTTTTCAGCCAGCGCCTTTATACGTCTCCCTCAAGCCTCTCTTAAGCCGTCTCTGCACCATCGTCTCATTAAGACTTCAGTATAACTACGAGGCTCCTGGATACATTTTCTGTATACGTCGTTCCTCGATGAAACTCATTTATAAGTGAGACGCTTCCCCACCGCCCCCCGCTCCATGCTTCTACATGAGGCATTCGTCTACGAGTCTTTCTCATGATACCTTCAATTAAAGCCTGAGAGGCTCTCTTACAAATTCTACTTTATAGAGGTCCTCTCCACGAGGCTGCTCTGTGCAATTCTTCTGAGATTCTGGATTAGAATCCCAATCAGTGCGCTCGACGGTAAACCGGGTTCCTCGGGTTTAGAGAGTCGATCGGCTCAGCCCATTGAAGAAAAAAAAAACGCAACCCCAACAACAAAACCTTCGTCTACATATTGGTGTTAGGATTTCATTCAGCTTGGCGCAGCCTGCATTGTGTTCACTTGTAGATGGCGCTAAACAAAATGACTGTCTAGTCTGCACAGTTAAGCGCCAGTGAGCAAAAGACCCCTGCAGGATTCACAATGCCGTAATTATGTGGCGCTGCTGCTCATGGGTATATGCGTAATGGACGTAATAATCGAAGTCATCAGCATCATCATCTAGGAACAGCTCTGCAGTAAACGTACCAACATTGGACCAACGTTTCATATTTACCGGGTCTGTGCTTAGATGACGATGATGATTACAGTCCATTCCGCATCCTCCTCATCATCATCGTCTAGGCATAGACTCAGTAAACATGCCCACTTCAGCAATTGTTTCTTGCTGTGGTTGTCCCACCTGATGACGGATGCTTGTGTTGCGCCCGAAACGTCGTGATTTAATTTATTTTCTACCTACATGACTTTACCGAAAGAACCAGAGTGTGGATCCCCGCAGTCACGAAAATTTCAAATCTAGAATGCCAATGCTGGCCCAACGTTGGCATGTTTACTTGGCGAGGTTGTACCTCGACAACCACGATGCTGATCGCGGTGGTGAGCACGGTATCGGTGCAACTGAAAGAAAATAAAGACAAAAATGAAATCAACACTGCACATCTCGTGGCACACAGAGGCGAGTGTCACCCAGCCACACACACGTGCAGTCGGTGGGGGGGGGGGGGGCTGTAACGGAACCACTCGCTCAACCCGCACGCTCGCCCACCGCCCAAATGTACAACAAACAAAAAGCGCTCACATTTTTTGCATCGGTAGTCAACTACTTATATTCCAAGTCAAATCTCCCGCTGCCGCTTCTTAGTGCAATTTCAAAAGGTCAGGGTCCAGCTATCATGGGTTTGTCAATCCCATCCGCAGAGGGGGAAGAGGAGAGGGGAGGAGTGTATGCTCGATTTGGTAACGGTGAGCGAGGTGGCAATGTTGTAGCTTCTCTCTATTGGACATTGCTAACAAGTTAAACCGTTGTTGAGCAGAGACCATTCATTATTCATTCACTTATCGTCAAAAGCTGTTCTCTTTTCTTCAGTGAAGACACAACCCAAAAATAACGGTGGATGTTTTTTTTTGTGGAAACACACACACACATACACGTATGGTTGTGGACCATGATTCTGAGGCTTCATTAAGCCGTGGGAGAATGAAGTCACCACCGAACACCGATACCGCTGCGCGACGTTTTGGTGAAAAAGCTTCTTTTCAAGGAACTGAATTTCAGGAGCTCCCAGCTATTTGAGCAAAGTGGGACCTCATTATCGAATGACACACAGCAAGGCCCGAGAACACATTGGAGAGCGGTGCACACACGTGTACGCAACGGCAGTGCACCATCCTCCAGTAACGCCGCAGCCAAGCCCGAAGCCTCTCCACGTTAATCAACAGGGACCAGCACACGGACGAGGGAGTTGAAAAACCGCGATGGCAGCAGCACTCTGTCCTTAAAGCTGGGAGTAAGGACAAGAGACGCATAAGGCAGAGTTTTACAATGGTAGGGGGGTTAATTGTCATATTGCTGCGGATCAGAGTTCCTTTGGTTTTGCAATGAGACACCGTCGCCTGGTTGTTTCTGTGGGTGGAGTCTTCACGGTATATCGCTGCTGAAGCTTCGTCGACCGGCTTTCGCATTCCGTACCGATGCACGGTAACGCTATTCGGTCATGCGAAAGCATCGCTATTATGGCTTTAATGCTGAGGCTGAGTCTTTGCAGGGAGCACAAACCTGCGGAAGCGGTGGACACTCGAGACAGGTGGAGACTTCAAACATATTCTAACACTTTCTGTAAATGATGACAAACTCGGGAGACGGAGGTCATGCAGCCTGGAAACAAATAAGGAGCATTACCGTATTCTCTGGATAAAGACGCACTTACCCGCCCCACCTCCACCACCGAGCTGTATTTTTAAAGTAAACATTGGAAGTGCATCTTATAATCTGGTAGGCATGCATGCCTGCGCATGACCAGATTTTTTTTATAGCTTTATTGACACCGGGGACACCTTGACACCAAGGTGCGTCTTATAATCCAGAGTATGCGGTGTTACACACATTTGATTTCGAAACAGCGATCATGCCCTTTTGCCGTCTCGACATTCCCTATTGCATGTTTATTACTCTTTAGGTAGAATTCAAGCAAACCATCAACCACCGATCTTTATATGACCAAGCGAGAACCCAGCAGGATTCCCCACCTCCTGTGTAACGGAGAGATGGGAGACTATAGTATTTCAGACCATTTTGTCCATCACCATCAACATCCCTCCGCGGGCAGATAAAACAAGCACCACCTCATTGGGAAGTCAAGAGTGTTTGCTTTATGGAGAAACTAGCTCCCGTCACAGGAATGTGGAGTTTACACCACTGGCTCACAGCACTGCTCACCCCGATGAGCACCGCTGGAACGAGCATGGAGACAGATTCACTTATTTTCTCAAATAATCAAATTTGAGAGTCCGACTATAACGGTGGCACGGCCAACTTAATGAGCTCTCACATCCATTTCCGTTGAATCAGGAAAGCCCCACCGAGTCTCAGGACTCGTGGTGAGGAGGATCTCACTTTGAGGTATTTGCCAAATTCCTCTCCACGTGCGTTCGAGCAAAAGGGAGAAAACCGGAGTGCCCAGGGGAAAAAAACCCACAAAACGAGAGAATGCTCAAACATTGTCGAGCAGACTTCCCGTCGACAAAAGAAACCCACCTGACATCCCTGCAAGCACCACCTTGTTTGCCCTGCAGGTGGGCGACTTAAACAAATCATAGCACCACCTCTGCCCGATCCACCAACCCCATCTCCAAGTGTTCATCGCCACATTGCCCCAGATTGTTTAAGTCTCAGTGCTTGAATGAGCACCAGACAGCGTTCACCTCCCACTGCTGGCTGTAACTGCTGGGCCAGCAGTCATTTTATTGACCCCAGAGCGATGATGGGGCCGAGACGACTCCCAAAAGAGAATTTGAACTTGTGACCATTCACTCGGTAACTCTGCCACAGCGGCACCTGGTCTAACCTGATATTACTACCGCTGGTTAATTTTATTCATATTCTCAGTGGTCTATTTTCATCTGATCACGTGTCACTGTGTCACACAGCACCCAGAGTTTGACTTGTCCCAAAATGATCATCACCCTTGGGGAACGGGCAAACTGAGCCCTATTTCGTGTGAAGAGAACAGCATTCGCTGAGTGCAGAAATTGACCCCCCATAAAAAAGAAAGAGAGTGAAATTCCCGCCAACGGCGCCAACTGTGATGAACGCTGCCACCCCCCTCATCCCCACCAACTTTATGAAACCAAGGAGATGCTTCGACTTGTTTCAGTCTCTCCCGCACTTCAAATGGCCGCTGCCCACACATGGTGAAGCCCAGTCTCTCTCTTGCCATCGTCAGCACCGTCGCCATCGCCATCGTCCAGGTCCACGTCGAGGTCCCCATTGGCCCCGCCGGGCGTGCGCGCTGCCCGCAGGCCATGCCACTTCTTGACGTGCTTCTCCAGCGTGGCGTACACGCCGAACGGCATCTGGCAGACGTGGCAGCGGTGCACGTCGCGGCCCACCTGCCCGTGCGTCTTCATGTGCCGCGTCAGCTTGCTCGACTGTGCGCACGCGTAGCCGCACAGCTGGCAGCGGTAGGGCCGCTCGCCCGTGTGGCTGCGCCGGTGCACAGTCAGGTTGCTCCCGTTGCGGAAGCGTTTGCCGCAGAACTCGCACGCGTTGGTGCCCGTGCCGGCGTCGCGGTCCTCCACGCCGCCCGCCGCCCGTCTCGCCGCGCCGATTTTCCGGACGCAGCCCCCGCCGTCGTTGTCTTCGTCGTCGTCTTCGTCGCCGTCTTCCTCGTCGTCGTTGTTCAAGCCTCGCTCGCCGCGGCGATGCAGGGGATGGAGGAGGAGGAAGCCCGGGCTCGCCGCGCTCTGGCTCCCGGACTCTTCCGCGAGCCGGCTGCCGCTGCCGGCCGTGTCCGAGGAGCTGGGCTCCGACGAGGGCGTGCGAGGAGGGGACGTGGAGCCGCCCCACGCCGCCGCCGCCGCCGCCGCCGCCGCCGCCGCGGACGCGTTCTCCCGAGAGCTTCCCGACGACGTGCTGCCCATCGCTCTGTTGCCACTAAATGGAACCCGGCCACCCATCGCGCTCATTCCCCCGAATGGAACTCCGCCGCTGATCCCTCCGCTGGAGTCAAACGACTCCCCGCTGCTCAGCTGCTGCACGGCGACGTAGCTGGCGAGCCACTGCGAGTAGATGTTGCCGTCGACGCGATGGGAGTCCACGAGCGGCGACTCATCGGGCTCCCGCTTCACGCTATTGGCAGTCGGGCAGGTGGAGGACAGGTCGAGAGGGAGGCTGGCGAGCTGCTCGTCCCCTCCATTGGCGGCCCCCGCGTGGGAGTGGTCACGAGCCGCCTCACGGAGAGCGGTCGTCGTCGCGTCCCCCTGGGGCCTCCCGGCAGGTGGCCCAATTTCCCTGCCCCTGCCGGGGGCCGAGTGGCAGTACGACGCCATCTGCCTGTTCAGCCTGAGCAGCACCTCGTTGAGCGCGGCCCGCGGGCCGCCGTCGTCCCCTTCCTCGCCGCTCGCCCGCGCGGCGCCTCGCCCGTCCGCTCGCCCTGCGCCGCCTCGCCCGGCGCCGAGGGCCAATGGCGTCTCTTCCGGGACGGACATGTCGCTGCGGTACAGCGCCGCCACGGAGCGCAGGGCGGTGCTCGCGCTGGACAGAGAACCCGCGACTCCGGGGCTTGGGGCGCCGAGACCGCCGCACCGCAGGCCGGGGGAGGAGGCCGTCCCCCTGCTGCCGTCCGCACGCCCCCTCTCCTCCTCCAGCGTGGCCGCCCTGGCCCAGCCCGAGCGGCGCGAGCTCTGGGATGCCGAGAGGGGCGCGGGGTTCCCCGTGGACTCGGGCGTCCCGCAAGAGCGCAAGGTCGACGTCGACGACGCCGACTCGCGGCCGGTGGCCGCGACGAATGGGGAGGACGGAGGCGGTGGGAAGATGCCGGCGCCGGGTTTTGCTGGAGGCGCAGTGCTGGAGAGGTGCGGGGCGGCACGTCCGGCACCGAGAGGTCGCTCCGTCGCCGTCGTCGGCGCCGCAAATGGAGCAGTGTTGCCGGCGAGCTCGCGCAGCCGGCGCGAAAAATCCAAGCGGCACCGGAAGTCCGCCGCGGTCGCTTTCTCTTCCCACGAGGCGGCCGCCGTCATCGCCGCCGGCTCTGGTGGGGACGTGCGGCCAGCGGAGAACGGCTGAGGAGGAGGAGGAGGGGGAGGAGATGGCGGCAGCGGCGGCTGTTGTGCTCGAGGAGCGGCGAACACGGGCGAGGCGCTGTAGCGGGGCCGGGGCGCCTGCGCGTGGAACAGCGCCGCCCTGAGCCAGGGCTCCATGAGCAGCCCGAAGGCGCTCACTCCGCTTCCGTCCATGCGGGCCGGGGGGGCGGCCGTCCTGCGATCGGGCAGCGGGGCGTCCGCCGGGGCGTCCGCCGATCCGCGCGACGCGCCGCTCGGCGAGCGGGAGCTGCCCTCGGGGCTGGAGGGCGGCGCCAGCGTGGTGAAGGAGCCGCCCTCGATGTAGACGCCGAGGCGGTGCGTGTGCTGCGCGTGCTGCAGCAGCGACCAGGCCGTGGGGAAACGCGCGCGGCACGAGCGGCACACGAAGGCGCTCGGCTCTGGGGCTGTGCAAGCAAGAGGGAGACACAAACGAGAGCAGTCACGCACGCAGCAGGAATTCCGTAATGCTTTCCAACACGCGTGTCAAATGAAGCCGCACGACGAGACAACTTCACGCACAGCGGTGTGTGTCACGAGGAAGCGAGGCGCGCGGCATCTGAGGGCTCTCTTTTTTTTTTATCTACAAGTTCTTGGGGAACTATTTTATCGATTCGGCCGGTTTACAAAAGGTTAAGACCCGAATGGCAACAAAAGAATAAAGAAAATTTTCATTTATACTGTGAACACCACCCCCCTCCGGCTCCCGGTTCCGGTTACAGACGCACGAATGGACAAAGCTGATGCATTCGTGCTTTCAACCTTAAGTTGGTAAGGGCAGGAAGTGGAAAGGGCGACACTTAAAAGGAAATTACACCAAAAAAACCATAGAAGCGTGGCGATTCAATTGTTCGCAGCGAGCAATCCAGCGTCTCCTCATGCCAGACAACGGCTCTGGGAAGATAACGATACAGGGATCAAGGACAGTGCATATTATTATCAGAGTTGTCTTTTTTGTTTGCATTTTGACTGCTTGTGTTGTGGTTATTGCAAACATGATGCCTTGAATAAAGGTGTCAGTTTTTGTGCCAGTTAAAAGGGTAAGAACCTATTCCTATATCTTGTTACTGGCAAAGGAGGTCTCATAATGATACAGGGATGTGTTGGCAATTTTCGTATGAATCTGAAACATTTAGAAAATGGGCCAAGATACCAAAACTTCGGATCACGATTTTTTTCATTTTTGTTTCGGTGGCACAACTCAAAGGACTGTAAAAGGGCGTTCATGCACTAGAATGAAATGCACATATTTAGTTTTCACACGCGAATAGTATGTCGAGCAGAAAACTAGATTTAAGTACTTACATTAAATCTGGTTTTCATTTGTGGTCACTGAGACGCTCTGGATAATGTACTAATCAACTCCATCCCTGTGACGGGCACCCAGAAACTGATGACAATTTTCATATTTTAACGTAATTAATACGAGTTTCTGAGTGCCTAACAAGGGGATGGAATTGCTTAGTACCTTTATCCAGAGCATCACCACCATGTGAGAAAACCAAACCTGTTGTTGAGGATCTGGATGAGAGCATCTACTTCGCTACCCTCGAGAACCCCGTTTTGCACGCGGGCTGCGGAAGAATTCCACCCAGGAAAATCAAACAGAGCCGGTGTAAAGGGAACGACGGCGCACATCTGGACAGGCTCGGGCGGGCGATTCCACGGCACGGGAATACGATGAACAACGGAGGCCCTCTTTTTTTTTTCGGTAAAGTCACGGAGAAGGGAAATAATAAAATAATAAAAAAATTTAACATAATAAAATTCTCACGACGTTTCGGCCACAACGCAAGCAGCCGTCCTCGGGTGAAGAAACAGAGCTGTCGGAAAGACAGCGCTCCAATGAACACTGCTAAGCTTGGCAGCGTCTTTTAAGCTGGGTGGGAGGAGCAGACACTGCCAAGCTTAGCAGTGTTCATTGGAGCGCTGTCTTTCCGACAGCTCTGTTTCTTCACCCGAGGACGGCTGCTTGCGTTGTGGCCGAAACGTCGTGAGAATTTTATTACGTTTTATTTTTATTATTTTATTATTTCCCTCCTATGTGGTGACTTTACCGAAAGAACCAAGAAGATGAATCCCTGCAGTCACGAAAGCTTTAAATCGAAATTTAACGCAGGCCCTGTCAAGACAGGGCAACGGAGTGGGCCCTGTTATAGATATCGCACCCAGCCTGCTGCGTGAGACCACGCAGAATCTTTAAACCACTCCTCCCTACCAAATAACGATAGCTGTCAACCCACACGGTTTACCCGTATTCTTGTACAGGGAAAACTGAGTTTTCAGGTCCATACGGCAAACAGCCATTTCAATACAGGCAAAAAAAGATGTTTTGTCTATTTGTGTTTCTCCCTTGTGATGGGACTTTGTCGGATTAACGATGAGAATTGTAAGGGCACGGGGTGACCAATAAGATCTGAATTGGCCTGTAATATGGGTAGGCAGCACTGATAAGGGGTTAACGGGTATGAATGATGCTCGTATTACAATTTCACAATCATCAGGTTCTGCGCCCTGTTGCTGCGACTGTTTTATTCCCTGGAATTGCCAGCCGAGTTTTAGGTTTGGGATTCTACTCGGAAACTGCGTTCGATCGATCGCGAGTCGTGCGCGTGAACCACGGCACAGCAGCTTGGACCGGCTACTTTTAACACCTGCGTATGAAAATAAAAAGGATCTCCTTGTATGAAGTGAAAAAAGAGGGAGAGAATAATGCGATAATGACATGGTGTTTGTGTGTGGAGTGTCGGGTACGGTGTCTGGGCACGCTCGTCTGACAGAAAGTATTCTGAAACCATGTGTGTACGTGCACAAGTGTGTGTGTGTGCACACGTGTGTGTGTGTGTGCACACGTGTGTGTGTGCAGGTATGCGTGGGGAGCTACGAATCCGAAGACCGAGTTCAGTTCCCGCGCTCATGGCCACAAACACCAGTGACAATTATCTGACACCCCCCTAGGTTAACTCAGCCTCGAATGAGTACCCGGTGCGATGTGTAAGCATCGCCACTGGGGAGACAAAGGTGGCCGGGCGTGGTGCTGCCCACCCACTCCCTCGTGTGCCGTGCCAGCCTTCACAGCTACTTTTTAACAGCACCTGCCCCCCCAATAGACTGCTAAGGCTAAACATGGGATATTTGCCGTTGCACTGGCAGTGACCCGAGTTCGATTCCCCCTAATGACCAATAATATTTGAACCGGTCTTGGGCCTCCCCGCGGTCGACTCAGCCTTAAGTGAGTATTTGGTAAACAGCTGGGTGCTGGCCACCCACGTACGCTTGTGCCATGCCGGCCTTTATAGGTGCTCGCTAACAGCTCTTGCCCCAATGGTCTGTGATAGGCTACACAGGGAATCTTTGTCTTTGTGTGTGCGTGTTCATGACCCCAGACACCTTATCCCTGGGAGTCTCGCCATTGTCCCGACTCAGACCTTCAGACCTCTGCCCGGTCTCACATTCAAGGACAACAAAGACAAAGATCCCCCGTGCAGCCTTAACAGACTATTTGGGGAAAGTGCTCTTAGCCAGCACCTATAAAGGCCGGCACGGCACACGAGGGGGTGGATGGCCAACACCACGCCCGGCCGCCTTTATCTCCCTAGTTGTGATGTTTACACATCGCACCAGGTACTCATTTAAGGCTGAGTCGACCTAGGGGAGGCTCAGGAACTAGTCAGATTTTCGTCACCAATGTTGGCCGTGAGCGGGAATCGAAATCGGGTCACCGGGTTTGTAGCCCAGCGCGCCCACCGCTACACTCCCGCACACGCACCCACACGCACATTCGCACAAACACGCCAACACACTCAGCCTCGCAGCAACGCTCGCACATTTCCCCACGTGGAGACACACCCCTACACACTCAGCCTCACAGATAAACAAAAATCCCACGTATAGCCTGAACAGACTGTTGGGGCAAGCGCTGTTAGCGAGCACCTATGAAGTCCTGCATGGCACACGAAGGGGTGGGTGGCCAGCACCACGCCTGGCCGCATTTGTCTCCCGAGTGGAGATGTTTACATGCCACACCAGGTAGTCAGATACAGACACACACATACACAGGTACATACAAACCCAGGCAGGCACAATGGCCTTGCAATCCAGGGGTTGTCAGATCGATTCCATCTCCAGGCACGGCAGTTGAAGCAATTCTCAAATCCCCCCCCCACCACCCCATGCCCCCCCCCCCCTCGCCAGTGGTTCTTAACTTTTACTGCAGCCTGCACCCCCCCCCCCACCACCCCCGCTTTAGTTCTCAGAAAGGGCACCTCGCACCCCCAGGGGGTGCATGCACCTCAGGTTAAGAACCACTGCTTTAGAGAGTGGAGGCCCTTCTGCCAAAAGTGGCGTGAGCAAGCAATTGCAGGGCTGCCCCTTTACCTCGTATTGCACAACCACAACCACACACACGCGCACACACACACACACACACCCACCCAGACTCACACACTCGGCATGTATACGGGTAGAAACACAAATAATGACAACAACCCCCGCACCTCCGATAAGTGCGGTTGACTACGTATGGTACGGAAGAAGTTCAACATACATACATTTAATAGACTATTGGGGCAATTGATGTTAGCGGCCACCTATTAAGGCCGATACGAGGGGGGTGGGTGGCCAGCACCATGCCCGGTCGCCTTTGTCTTCCGAGGGGATGTTTATATATCGCACCAGGTACTCATTTGAGGATGCGTCGACCTAGGGGAGGCCCAGGACCAGTTCAGATAATCATCACTTGTGTTGGCCTTGAGCGGGAATGGAACTCGGGTCACCGGGATAGTAGCAGTGCGCTAACCACTGCGCCACCGCTCTCCCTATTCTCACACACACACACAAGCACACACATACCCACGCGCACTGATGCACAAATAATACGTACGCACTACACGATCAAGATGTCATCACGGCCAGAGCCGTTGAGGCCACCACACCGCCACCGCACCTCGCCGGTGCATTCTGCCCTCCGCCAGATCCCTTGGCTGCTACGCAGTCGACACTCGGTGACCTCCACAACCGGCCCTGACAGTCTCCCACCATCTACTCCTAGATCCTGCCCTTGGTTGCCGGACTCGTGCCGACCACTACAATGCCCGTCTCAGTAACTGTCCCTCCTCCATCCCGCACGCGTGTCCGGCCCAGCGCCGCCGTCTTTGCCAAAGCGTATCCTACAACGCTCCCCCCCCCCCCCGCCCCGTTCTATTTCGGACATTCTGCGATGCTAATCCTGTCTTTCCACGAAATTCCAAGCATCCGTGGAAGAAGAAAGCTCTCCATCGGACACGTGGAGCGAGGTTGACTCAAAAGACCTGCCAATGTAGCAGAGGAATAATGTGAGAACAGCAGTTGTCCAAAGGAACTGGTCGCGGCCATGGAATTGTGAAATTGCCCCATCACACTGATCGTT